AAAGATAGGTAAGAGGAACAGCAAGATAAAATTTCTGCAAAAGGGAAGGGGAATAAGAGATGGGGTGGGAGTGAGGGAGGGGAAAAGGATAAAAAAATTAAGATGTATTATACATATATAACTTCTCACAATTAATGTAATCATTACTTACTGCAAACATATACTAACAAAAACCAGTATGCTAAGTAAAAAAAAAAAAAAAAATTCAAATGGCCAAATAGTGTATAAAAAAATATTTAACATCTCTGGCCATCAGAAAAATGCAAATTAAAACTATATTAAAAAAAACTATATTGAAAATGTGGTATTTATGCACAAGGGAATACTACTCTGCCATTAAAGAAAGTTATACCTGTTGGAAAAGTCACTGAGTCAATCTGTAGGAAAATAAATGCACCTGAGACCATAATGTTAAATAAAATAAATCAGACACAAACTTAAGTATCACATTGTTTCTCTTATATGAGAAACCCCAAGTATAAATAAAGAACAAAATAAAAGATAGATAAAAAGAAGCAGAGACACAGATCTTTCTCAAGAAGGAAGGGGATCAAGAAATGGGGAGAGAGGAGAAGGAGGGGAAGAAGAGGGAATGAAAAAAGATGTGCACATTATGTGTTGCAAACTTGTTTTTTTAAAAAAAGGAAGAGGACAGATGGAGGGGAGAGAGAAAGAAAAGTGGATATCAAAAAAAAAGAATTAAAATATACTGCAGCCAGGCTTGGTATCACATGTCTGTAATGCTAGGCTGAGGCAGGAGGATCACTGTGAGTTTGAAGCTAGCCTGGACTACACAGCAAGACTCTATCAAAAAAAAAAAAAAAAAAAAAGTATTACATACATGTACCAGCTCCCCATAAGGAGTGTAAACATTATGTACCACAAATGCACTACACTGAGCTTCCATCTCACTACAGTTAGAATTGGTTATCATCAAGGGTACAAAAACCAAAACTGAATGCTAGTTAGGATGGGAGGAGCACTTTCACTCTTTGTGAGAATGTAAACTAGTACAACCATCAGGGGAATCAGCATGGAGACACTTCAAAAGAGTAAACACAGAAACACCATTTGAGTTGGATGTGGTAGCGCACTTGTAATCCCAGCACTTGGGAGGCTAAGGCAGAAGGATGGCCATAAACTACATAGTGAGTTCAAAGGCAGCCTCAATTACAGAGTGAGATCCTGTCTCAAAATAAAACCTAGGGGCTGGGGATATATAGTTCAGTGGTACAGTGCCTGCCCCGTAAGCTCAAAGTCATGAGTTCAATTCCCAGTACAAAAAAAAAAAAAAAACTACATTTGACCTAGTATATCACTCTTGGGTACATTCTCAAAAGAATTATGGATTGCCTGCTATAATGACACATACATACCCATGTTTACAGCACCCTAATTCACAAATCTAATTCTTCCTTCAGGCTGTCTCAAAAAAACAAAAGAAGAAAAGGAAAATAAACAACCTGATTAAAAAATGAGCCAAAGACTTTGACACTTCACCTAAGATATAAAGATGGCAAATAAAGAGTGTGATGGCACAGGCCTGTAATCCTCAGGAAGCTGAGGCAGGAGGATCCTTGCGAGTTCAAGGCCACCCTGGGCTACAAAGTGAGCTCAAGGCCAGCCTGAACTGCATAGCGAGACTCTGTCTCAAAAGACAAAAAAAAAAAATTAGCAAATAAGCATACGAAAAAATGCTCATCATCAGGTCATCAAGGAAATGCTAATTAATACAACATAGGGATGTCATGACATGCCTTAATGAGATGGACAAAACCCAGAACAGTAAAGCAAATAGTGAAGAGGACAGAGAGCGACAGAGACTCTAACTCACTGTAATTGGGATGCAAAATGGTATACACTTTAGAAGACAGTTTGGCAGTTGCTTATAAAACTCAACATACTCTCTCTTTTTTTTTTTTTACCTAATCCAGCAGTGATGGTCCTTTGTATTTAACTAAAGGAGTCGAAAATTTAAATCCACACAAAAACCTACAGGTGGCTGTTTATAGCAGCTTTTACTACAACTGCAACAACTTGAAAGCAGCTAAGACATCCTTCAGCAGATGAATGTATAAACTGGTACATGTATAAACAATGGGATATCATTCAAAGACAAAAAGAAATGAACTATCAAGCTATAAATGTGGAGAAAACTTAAATGCATATATCACTATATGAATAAAGCGCATACTATATGATTACAATTACTGGAGAAGGCAAAACTATGAACACAGTAAAAGGATTAGTAGTAATTGCCAGGGACCAGGAAGTAGAAAGAGATGAACAGAAAAAGCACAAATGATTTTTAGGACAGTGGAGAAATATATATGTGTGTAGTTTACATACTGGTGCTGTAAGATTACTAGTTATCAGATTTAAAGACAAAGGACAGAAGTTTTAACCTCTTCAAATAGCAATAAAAGTAAAATCATACAGTATTCGTTAAAAAGAAAAGCTGGGCATGGTGGCACATGCCTGAAAATCCCAGCACTTGAGAGGCTGGAGGATCATGGAGAGTTCGAGGCCAGCTTGGGCTACAAAGTGAGTTCAAGACTAGCCTGAACTGCATAGTGAGACCCTGTCTCAAAAAGACAAAAATAAATAAATAAATAAATAAATAATAAAAAGAAAACAAAGTGCTGTGTTGAGACATAGCACAAGAGACCATTAAAATGGAGAAGTAATAGATACAAGGTGCAATCAAACAGTATGATGATGTTGTTTGGTGCAATTTGGTTGTGAGTTATGGTTAAGAGAAGGTGTTTTAAAGTGTCCATTAAAAAAAAAAAGGGCCGAGGATATAGCTCAGTGGCATAAATGCCTCCTGGCAAGCGCAAGGTCCTGAGTTCGATTCCTGGTACAAAAAAAAAAAAAGTGTGCATAAATCATGGATCATTATATTGAATATGCACCCTACCACTGCTTCAGATTCCAGCTAGAGATAAAATCTGGGTCTGTGGTTATGGTCCTGAGACCAAGGGGCAGAGTTCTCAATGGAAATAACTCAGTTCTCATCATGTGAATAAAGCACTTCAATCAAATCCAACATCAAGGTGATACTGATTATGTTTCCTACTTTGACGGAATTATTTGACCTAAGTGTTGTACCCAGGAAAACTATGGTAAACTCTAAATACTATAGCAATTTATTATTTAAGAAATGATGTGCACAAAAAATGGCCTGAGAAATGGGCAGTTTCATTCTCCATCACATGTCACTTCTATTTCAGGAAATTACAAAAAAAATTACAACAGGGCAGGTAGCCTGGATGAAATATAAAGGCAATCTTGGTTGCTATTGTTGTTGCTCACTGCTCTGCTGCCTTCTGCCTGTTCAGCAATGCCCATCTGCCACACCACCCTGCCTTAGAGCCAGCCGACTATGGTCTGAAACCTCTGCAAACTGTGAGTCAAAATAAATCTTTCCTCCTCTAACTTTGGGTGTTATGTATTTTGTCACAGGAACAAGTAGCTAAGCCACCTTTTCCTCTATTCTTTTGCAATTATTTATTTTTCTAGTAGTGACAATGTTTCCCTAATCTACTATGCTGTGGAAAAGCTAAGCTTGAACTAAAAATTACTATTAAACTATTATAATTTTATTAGCATCATGCTGTAATCAGGTGAGCCAACTGGGAGAGAAACTTGCATAACTGGAAAGATTAAAGCAAAGGGCAATCATCCTCATTTATTTTTTTGAGGGGTACTGGGAATCAAACTCAGGGCCTCATGCCTCACCCTTGCCAGACAGGTGATGCGCCACTGAGGCTAAACCCCTGGCCCCTTTATTTAGTTTTGATTCAGATAAAACATTTTAATCTTAGTAATATCACATTATATCTTAAACATTATAAAAATGAATACAAACTAGCAGTGCATTCAGGGTTGCACAAGACTGAACTGACATCAGAAAAAAAAATTACTTGACCTGTAGTACAATAAGTCCCAATATATGAAAGGGTTCCATTCCAGGAGAACATTCCTAGGTCAGATTCGTTTGTAAGTTCGACAAAGGCAGTCTTACACACCTTTGCCACTGTCCCCGCCACATCACCACTGCTCTTCCTCTAGCTTCTGACACTGTGCTACTGTTACTCGCACACTGCACAGTAAGCTCACAGCAGCACAACTGTGACAGTGCCCAGCAGACATGTGAGCTGCTTCTGAGATTTGTTCCCAACTATAAATGCTCGTAATGTGAGGTCCGTTCCTGTGAAAATTCACAACTCGAATGTTCCTAAGTTGGGGACTAAATATAAGGACCTGAGCACTAAATAAATGGACTTCAAAAATGACAACAGGACCAGAAAAAGTTAACCTCTGAAACTAAAGTTAATGAGAGCCCATAATGGTAGTATTTTTTTAAGCTCATCCTACAGTACAGTTTGAAAGCAGCTTCCTTAAAGTGATTCAAGAATGTTTAACATCCGAGGACATGAGTGGAAACATCTCAGAGGTATACTGTGCTTGTTTAATGTTTTTTAATGGAGAATTTTACAATAGCAGATTTAGGAGGGAGCACTTTTTGTCTTTTTGAGGCAGGGTTTCACTATGCAATTCAGACTGGCCTTGAACTTACTTTGTAGCCCAGGCTGGCCTCAAACTTGAAGCAATCCTCTTGCCACACCTCCCAAGTGCTGGAATTACAGATGTGCACCACTAAGCCAAGCCCTATTTGTTTTCTTAGTACATGTCTGTAGTACAGAATAGTGATGTTCATCAGGACAACACTTTTTTCTACATCAGCAGCGTGGTTCTACTAACTGATCATCACTCATCCTTACTTACCATGTAAAGGAATTCTCAAAGTCCAATTAATTTGAACAATCACACAGTGATATTATTACTAACCAGTGATGAAATTTTCAAGAAAAAAGTGCTAAGCATATTTATACCTATCAGACACCAGAGTATTCAATAAGTAGAAAATGTAATTGAGGCTCAAGAAGATAAAAATAAATTAGCATGCAAATTATAAATTGCACAAAGAAACTTACCTTGTAATTTTTTTAAAACAGCAACCTCCATTTTCAGAACTTGCTTTGGTTGTTGAGCTGATTCCACCTTCAGTGCAACATTTTCCCTGGTGAGCATGTCCAAGGCATCGTAAATTTCTCCAAAGCCCCCACCCCCAATCTTTCTCAACTGCACAGAAAATAAGAACACACTCAAAATTACTCAAAATTATGAAGATTCTAAATGAGAATCAATTCAGTTCTTACATTTACAAAATAACATAGTTTTACAATCCCTGCTTTTTTTCAATACTGGAGATCAAATCAAGGTATACTTTACCACTAAGCTAACTCTTTAGACCTTTGTTTATTTTTGAGACAGTTTCTTAATAAACTGCTGAGGTGGGACTTAAATTTGCAATCCTCTTGCTGGGATTACAGGCATGAACCACTAAACCTAGCTTATTATCTCCATTTTATAACAAAATATTTCAGGAGCTGGGTATGGTGGCACATACTTGTAATTCTAGCACTTGGGGAGGCTGAGCAGGAGGACTGTCGCAAGTTCAAGGCCAGCCTTAACTATATAGTGAGACCCTGACTCAAAAATAAAAAACAAAACAAAACAAAGTAAAATAAAGTATTTCAACACTGTTAAATTAACTATGTATACGGCAAGAAGAAAACAAATGCCTGGAAATAACATCAAATTTCCCCAAGACTGTCCATAAAAAATGCAATTATTTGAGTTACATACAATTTCAAAATGTGGTCTACAGTTAACATCAGAAATGTTGCGCGCACGCGTGTGCACACACACACACACACACAAAATGCAGTATCTGAAAGAATATGTCACTCAAATCAGATTTGCTGTTTTCTTTTTTTAGTCAGAGTCTCACTGTATAGTTCAGGCTGGCCTTGAAATCATGTAGCCCACTCTGGCTTCAGGCTCACAGCAATACTCCTGTAGCAGCCTCCCAAATGCTGGGATTATAGGCATGCATGTTGTTTTCATTCTAAAACAGCCATTGGCAGACTCTTTAAACAGTGGACTCTTCTGCCAGTTGAAATTATACCTACAATTAAAGTGGTGTACATGGTGGGGAAAGGTAAGCAGCCAGCACCCTGCCCTCTCACCAGGTACTCTTCCTCTGACATAACCATCAGGCTCCCAGAACAGGAAGAGAGCTGTTCTAAACTATTCCAGACCTCACTGCACATCCACACCCTGAAGAAGGACTGAGCTTTCTTAGTCACTTTAAGCACTGTCATCAAACACTTAATATTCTTTCTGATGAAAATGTTAGTTTAACTGGGAGACATCAGGATCTTTGTCCTACTATTATGAACAAGTTCTGAACAGATGGTGACAACAGAACCTGTAGGATTCTAAAAAACTGGTGTAGGTAATACACTCTGAGCAAGATACAGCAAGATACAGCATTTTGTTTTTATTTGTTTGTTTGGTTTTTACTTTGAGACAGAGTCTTGCTGAGTCACTAAATTGCCAGGTTGGGTTCAAATTTAAGATCCTCTTGACTCAGCCTCTCAAAGTATTGGGATTAAAGTGTACATCACCACAGCCTGCAAGAGGGCAGTCTTATTCCATTTCCTGAAACTAGGAGATCTTCGTCTTATTGTATTATCAAACATACAGGATGTGAGGGGCTGGGGATTTAGCTCAGCGGCAAAAGCACCTGCCTGGCAAGCGCAAGGTCGTGAGTTCGGTTTCCGGTACCGGAGAAAAACCAAGAAAAACCAAACATACAGGATGTGATAATATGTAGGAAGTCATCAGCAGAAGCATGAGGTCCTAAATCCTAACCTCCCAAGAGACCCCAGCTCATGTCTTTCTTACTTCTCCCCTGGAATCTCATCAATTACTATATCCAGGATGATTTATCATCTAAAATTTATCTGGGAATTATCTGCTTAATCATTCAATTAATCATTTTTATCAGGCCATACCTCAGATATCATTTATATCATTCTGTTGCTTTTTAACTCAAATTTCTTAACTTTCCATTTTCAATGTCCTATTCCATGAGATAAAGTAAACTTCTTCAAAGACTGGGACACTTGTCCTATTTATGTCCTTATAACATTTGGCAAAATGCCAATTACATAATTATTATTTAACTTTATTTGTTTTGTATGTGTGAGCCATAACTATTCTTTATTTTTGTTTGGTGAGGAACCATAGAATGAATTTGGAATTAATAAGTAAGTTCTGGAACTGTTCAGTTAAATACACAGGTTTTTGTTGGGTCATAATGGGTTCTTAAGATTCTTTTTTTGCTTTCCTGTTCCTAGCTTGCTAGCCCTGGGGATCCAACTGAGCGCTTTACATACACTAGGCAAAAAACTCTGAGCTATATCCCCAGTCCTTCTTATTTTTGAGACAGAATTTCACTGAATTGCCCAAGCTGGCTGTGAATTTGGGACCCTCTCCCTCAGTCTCCCAAGTAGCTGGGACTACAGGTGTGTGTCACCACGCCTGGCAAAATCTCAGAAATAAGATAGGTACAGGGCTATTTGCCTATAGTCCCATCTACTCAGAAGGCTAAAGCAGAAGAATCACTTGAGCTCAGAAATTTGGGGCCGGACTGGACAACACAGTAAAATCTTACCTCAAAACAAAACAGAGCCAGGTATAGCGGTATATGCCTACAAGCCCAGCACTCAGGAAGCTGAGGCAGGAGGATCATGGTGTGTTCGAGGCCAGCCTGAACTACATGGTGAGTTTAAGGCCACTCTGAACTATAGAGTGAGAGATTCTGCCTTTAAAAAAAGAAAAAAAAAAAAAAATACCACATACACAACAAATAACAACAAAAAACAATATTAAAATAATAATACACACTACCAAAGGGGATGTCCTTTTAATTATGGATTGCTGTGAGGTAGCTTATTGTTTTATTTCAAAAAAATACCCTTTCCAAATGGTAGAATAAAACATCTAAGCTGAAGCAAATGATTTTGTTCCATAGTCTATTCCGATGATGCCATCTGAACATTAGAATCATTAATTTTTCTATTAGCCTGGCAAAGACTTAAGACATTTCAGTGCTTCCTAAGCAAAGACATAGAACCAGTTCAGCATTACAGGGGTACACATTAAGAAATAAAGGTGAGGATTGTGGCAGGATGTATTTTCCAAAGATGGCCACCACAGTATCACCATCCTTGTCCTTCAATTGTGAGAATGCCCTTTCTCTTAAAGAAGGAAATGTGACCTTGTCACTCCCCCATCTAGAGGTAGGGTCTACTTTCCCTTCTCATTAAATCTGGGTCAATCTTGTGACTACTTTAATTAACAGAAGAACACACTATGTGAGTTCTGAGAAGAGCACTGAACTAGCCTGGCAGTTTCTGCTTCCCAGCTCTGGAAAGCAAGCTGCAACATAAAAAGTATCACTATCCTGAGAAGTCATAGCCTAGCAGATTCTCTAGGAAATGAGCCGCTAAACTGAGGCACGAGAGAGCAACAAAGAGCCCATGGTTCCAGATGAAGAAGTAAAGAAGCCACTTAGGAGTGGATATGCAACCCAACCAATGCTGCCATGCCACAGAGGTCAAAGACAAATCACCTCGGCTAAGTTATCCCTAATTTCTAGTTCGCAAAATTGTGAACAAAACAAAACAAAATAACTGTTTTAAGTCTCTGTTCTGATATAGCTTGTTACATAACAATAGATAACTAAACCACCACTCTTAATAACTTGTCTATGACTTCTTACTGAAAATGTCATTCTTTCTCCCAATTTGAGGGATAAGTTCCACAAATATATTAACTCTAATTATGAAGACAGGGGTGCCGTGCCAGACAGATCTTCACTTGTCACCTCTGATGTTTCCATAAAGAATAGCCAACCTACACCACAGAACTTAGCAAGATGGGCTCATCAAACTAACATTCGTGTCTGACCTACATAAAATGTTAGCAACTGCTATAATCTTCTTGTACCAATCCATAATCACGACATGGTTTTTTTTGTTTGTTTGTTTTCTGGTACTGGGAATTGAACTCATGACCTTGCACTTGCCAGGCAGGCACTAAGCCGCTGAGCTAAATCTCCAGCCCCACAACATGGTTTTTATATTCAATCAAATTTTCAAAGCCTATTGACTTGATCAGTAAAACACACTATACCATAGAAATAAAATTTTTATTGCCACCCCAAAAGCAGCAATAAAGGAAAGAAAAAATAAAAGGGCTAGGGGTATGTGGAAGAATATGAGGCCCTTGGTTGAATCCCCAGTTGGAAGAATGAATATATAGAAATTTTTTCCATCTATTGGTCAATTAAAGGAACCACTAAAATAGCTTTGTGAAACCTGCTACTGGAATAACACTTTGGCTGGAAAAAAATGAGTAGCAGTAAAAATACTTAAAATATACTCAAAACAAATCAGCTCCTTTAAAAATATTAGTCTTGCCAGGTGTGGTGGAGACTATGTTTGAAAGTAAATAAACATGCTGGGTGTGGTGATACACACCTGTAACCCCAGCACTTGGAAGGCTGAGGCAGGAGGATCACTGCAAATTCCAGGCCCAAATTCTAGGCTACCTAGTGAGTTTAGGGTAGCCTGAATAAACAGGAAGACCCTGCCTCAAAAAAACAAAAAACAAAAACAAAAGCAAACAAACAAAACAGCAGTCTTAGCAAGATGGCCAATTCCAGGTAGGGTGAGGCAGGAGGATTACCCCAAGTTCAAGGCCAACGTGGGCTACATAGTGAATTCAAGACCAACCCAGACTATATACAGTGAGACTCTATCTCAAAAAACAAAACGAAGACTGGGGATATAGCTCAGTGACATAAGTGGCTGTCTGCCAAGCACAAGGTCCTGAGTTCAATTCCTGGTACCAAAAGACAAGACAAAACAAACCAATGCCAGGTCTCGGGCAAGAAAGCCATCAAAAGACTTAGTGCCATATCAAAAAAATTCAGGCAACAATTTCAAGGATATCCCCAAAGTCAAATGAAACATTTGAACAACTATTAGGTAATAACTACACTGCACAAAAACACATGGAATATTTAAATCCAAAAAATTTTAACTATACTAAAAAATTTCATTGGTTACTTTTAGAGGATGCTGGGGAATTAAGAAAAAGAAGCACACATTTATCTTGCTTTCTTAATCAAACTATATCTTCACAAATCAAATAGTTGATTATAGGACATTTTTCTTTGTAGATGTGTTTCAGCCAATAAATGAAAGAAAGATAGAATATCACTAATTTGCAATCTCTAATAAAAGTTAACAGGCCAAGACAATGTTCATCAATACATACATGACAAAAAATATGAACAATAAAACATTATAGGCTGGGCATGGTGATCCAAGCCTGTAATTCCAGCATTCAGAAGACTGAGGCAGGAGGATTGCTGCTGTTAGCTGAAGGCTAGACTGGGCTACAAAGTGAGTTTAAGGCCAGCCTGAACTACATAATGCGACCTTGTCTTAAAAAGACTACATATATATATGCTTCCTATTGAAAGCTCATGATACACTTATTGCGGGGAAGTCCCCATCACAAAAAAAAAAAAAAAAAGCCCGCTGGGCGAGGTAGCGCACACCTGTAATCTCAGCACTCAGGAGGCTGAGGCAGGAGGATCATTTTAGGCCAGCCTGGACTACATAGTGAGTTCAAGGCCAGCCTATAACTAAAAAGTAGACCCTGAGCCTGGCATGGTGGTGCTCGCCTGTAATCCCAGCACTTGGGAGGCTGAGGCAGGAGTTCAATACCAGCCTGGGCTACAAAGTGAGCTCAAGACCAGTTTAAATTGCATAGTGAGACCCTGTCTCAAAACCCCCCCCCCAAAAAAAAATGGACCCTGTCTCAGAACAACCGAAACCAAAACAAACAACAATCAAAAAAACTAACTCAGATCTAATCAAACATTTAGGTATAATTGCCAATTTACATGACATTCATGAGACAGAAAAACCTGTCAACACCTCATGGAAGCAATCAGTAATATCCAAACAATGGAGGAATTCTACAGGCAAATTACCTAGTTTCTTCACTAAGTCACTATAAAAAAAGGGAGGTGGGATGGAGAGAGGAACAGAGGGAGAGAAGAGAGGCGGAGGAATCTAGATTTAAAAGAAATTTAAGTAACTGCAACCAACTGCAGTATACAGATCTTCCTGGACCTAGATTCAAACTGTTAAAAAGGATTATAAAACAATTTGGGAAATATGGAAACTGAAAGGATACTTAGTGATATTAAGAAATTATTCTTTTCAACCAAGTGTTAGCACAGGCCTATAATCCCAGCACTCTGGGAGCGAAGACAGGAGAATCATAAATTCAATTACAGCAAGACCCTGTCCCAAATAAACATAAAAAGGCCTGTGATGTAGCTCACTGTGGAAGGTCCTGGGTTTAATCCCCACTACTAAAAAAAAATAAAATAAAATTACCTTTTCAGGTATAATAATAGTAACATGATTAAGCTTTAAAAAAGAAATCCTTATCATTTAGTGATAAGGACTGAAGTATATAGAGAAGAAAATAAACTAAAAACTGCTACGAAACAAGGAGATATTCACTGTACTTTTAAACACTATTTTTTTATTTGTTCTTTTCATAAATGTTCAATATTAACTTATACTCAACATTAACTTATTTAATATTAACTATTGCAAGTTAGGAAAATATAATATTATATGAATACAAACCCAGAGCTTAATTACAAGAACCGATATGCTTTAGGTAGATAAGCAATGTAGGTACTATTTCCTAATGAACTAGTACAGTACTTTTTATCAGCATACTAAAGATGACTCCCCTCCACTCCCACTCCCACCCCCACCCCACTGTGCACTCACCACTTTCCATCTTTCTTTGACCAAGATTCCAACACTGAGGATGTCTGGCTGCTCTCCTCCCCCACTCATTGCAAAATACTGATGTGGTAGAACAGCTACATAGGCATCCAGCTCCCAAAGGTGGTTTCCATTTAACCTGAAACAAAAAACAGCAGCAGCTTCTCAGGGCTAATTAACACAACATTCTAGCATCAAGAAGCACTACTAATCCTATGTACTCACTAGGTTGCTTCAATGGAAAGAGGGAGGGAACAAATTGACACAAAAGTTGTTCAATGCATATTTTAAAAACCACATTATCTTTCCACTACAGATGTCCAGTGATTACAGAATACTGTTACAGCATGGCTATTACAGTATTTACAAGAACTGAGACTACAGAGCAAGCCAACGACTGTTCATCCAAATAGACAGATGTCAATGGCTGTTTGTCCAGATAGACTACTAGCCTGAGTACAACATGCTGCCAAAAACATGGTACTTAACTTACAGCAGTTTATAGTTAATAGGTTAGAACAGCTTAACATCATCAGAGCTAATTTTGGGAGGTGTGTTTTGAACAGGGTCTGGCTATGTAGTTCAGACTGGCCTTGAATTCAGTATATATCCTAGGCTGGCCTCAAACTCCTGGTGATCTTCCTGTCTCAGCCTCCTAAGTGCTGGGATTACAGCTGTGTGCCTAGCTCTTTTGAGCTAATAATATTTTAATGTTACAAAATGGCCAGGTGTGGGGGCACACAGCTGTAATCGCAGCACTTGGGAGGTTGAAGCAGGAAGATTGCTTCGAGTACAAGGCTAGCCTGGGCTACAAAATGAGTTCAAGGCCAGCCAACCCTACACAGTGAAATCCTGTCTCAAAAAGACAAAAAAGAAAAAAAGGTTACAAAATGCACTTAAAATGCATAGGAGATAAATGTAAACATACAAAAAGGCCACTGATTAAATCCTACTCGATAAAATTATAAGAGAAAAGGAGTAATAGCAAAAAAGAACAGCATGTTTGTAGAATATAAAGAGCAGAAATAGCCTAAAGAAGATAAAAACTGTAACCCAGACCAGAACTGGGAGAGATACAGAGTGATTTTCAGCAAACACTGTTCAGTGGAAAAAAGGAAGATGCATAAAGGGTTTATAGTACACTGCCTTTTGAGTAAAAGGGAAGTGAATGGAGAGTATATGTACATTTTTGCTTATTTTATTAAAAAAACAAAGGAAGGATAAACTGAAAAGAGATGAAAATGATTCTCAATAACAGGAGTAGGCAAACTTTTTCCGGGAAGGTCAGAAAGTAAATACTTTAGGCTTTATACACCATGTATTGTTATAGCTACTCAACTCTGCAACACAAAAGAAGTCATAAATGTTAAGTAAAGAGATGAGTGTGGCTGTGTCCCAACAAACTTTATTTACAGGGGGAAAGTGGTAGTTGCCCAAACATGGTCTGCAAACTGAAGTTTACCAAGATTTACTCAATAGAAAGGGGAGGGGAGATAATGGGGAACTAGGATGTAGGCCACACTTCTATGAATATATCTTACAGTTTTCATTTTTTGAACCATGTAAATGTTTTATATATGACAAGAACAATTTCCTATTTTCCAAAAGCAAAAAACAAAACATGTGACAAATGATCACTGAAACTGGCTTTAAGGACATGGTGGCACATGCCTATAACCCCAACACCCAGCAGGTTGAGGCAGGAGGTGGTTAATGATAATGGGCGGGTGAGACAGATACTACTTAGCCTCCCTGACCAATCTTTACATCATTAAATGATGCGACAGTGAGCAGCACACCACTGACATCCAGAACCAAACTAAAGCTTTGACTCAAGACCGAGTTCTGGCCATTCAGGAATACAGAGATCTGAGTATGACTGCAAAAGCTTTGAAAATTTAACTTATATTAAAAACAAATGACAGGCCAGAGATTTAGCTCAGTGGCGCAGCACCTGCCTGGCAAGTGCAAGGTCCTGAGTTCAATTCCCAGTACCAAAAAAATAAAATAAATAAAAACAAATCACATGGGAGGCTAGTCAGAACTTAAAACATGAACACAATTGGTTAACTAAAACAAAAATATCTGTATTTTCCATAGAATTTAAGTAAGTTTCAAATCTCAAAAAATAATTTTTTAAATGTTGAGCATGCAATCCATTAATTACCAAGTATATAAGAACCAGGAAAACCTCTATTTACATATGAAAGGATAATCAACAGATGCGGGCACCAAGATGACAGATTCAGGACTTAGTGGACAAAGACTTTAAAGTAGCTACTGCAAGCAAAGGCATATACCCTAGAAGTAGACAGACAGATACAAAGGCTCAGTACAGAAACTAAAGATATTGTAGAAATAGTTTACTTCTAGTAAGGCAGCCAGCTAGTGGAAGGGCCATAGATACAGTGGAGTGACCAGTCACACTGACAAAAATTCAGAAGAGACAGTGAACTAGGACTTGAGACAGAATGAACTTCCAGGCCAGGGATGCAGCTCAGTGGCACAAGCACACGCCCTGAGTTCAATTCCCAGGACAGAAAAAAAAAATTTCCTCAGGCAGCACAGAATGCTGCCCACCTCTACGAAACAGTATAGCTACTCCCTACTTAGATCCATAATTTTGAGGCAATCATAATGTGAATTATACAGTGTACTATAGACATTGTGTGGAAGCACTGGGCTAGACAGCCTGAGTTCCAAATGGTCATTTTAAATCCAAAGACCCAACTGTGATAGGTCATCACTAAACAATTAAGCAATTCCTGTACCCTGCTTGCCTGTAAGTAATTCTAAACTGAGCGACCATGTGGCCACCCCATCAGGGACCCCGCCTGGAAACCCAGGAGCTGTTCTCCTCCTTTCCAGTAAAACTTTCCTAATCTCCCTCTCTGGTTTGCAACTTCATTCTATGACATTTACACAACTACAGGCCTGGAACACATGGTATCAGCTATGAAGTAGTAAGCTGAATTTTTTTCTTTTATAGTAGATGAGACTGAACTTAAGACCTCACACATGCTACATGCTCAACCCACTAAACTGAAATTTTAAAAGTGACTACAGTAACTAACAATTTAAAACTTCAATATGCCGGGTGTGGTGGCGCACGCCTGTAATCCCAGCGCTCGGGAGGCTGAGGCAAGAGAATTGTTGTGAGTTCGAGACCAGCTTGGGCTACAAAGTGAGCTCAAGGCCAGCCTGAACTGCATAGCGAGACCCTGTCTCAAAAAGGCAAAAAAATAAATAAATAAATAAAACTTCAATAGAGGAGATCAACAGAAGAATGGAACTGTCAGAGGAAAGAGTAAACTCAAATCTAGAGAAATTATCCAATCTGAAAAGATTTTTATAAATCTTTCCATAGGCCCTAGGGACTGGTAGTACAATATTAAAAACTCTTAACAAATATTTGTGTCATTAAGAGTTGTAGGAAAGAAAAATGTGTAGAGCAGGAAACAAAATTGAAAGATACCTACAACTTCCCAATTTGAGAAAGATAAAACCGACTGAAGAAGCTCAATGGATAGGATAAGCAAAGTAAAACTATAAAACACAAACCTCACTCCTAAGCACATTATGACTAACCTGCTAGAAATTAAACACAGAAACACTTTAAAACTTCCAGATTAAAGTATGACTCCTGTTGCCAGGTATGGTGGTGCACGCCTATAATCCCAGCACTCAGGAGGCTGAGGCAGGAGGATCGTTAGGAGTTCAAGGCAGCCTGGGCTATGAAGAGTTCAAGACCTTGCACAGCAAGACCTTGTCTCAAAAAGACAAAAATAAATAAACAGCCAGGCATGGTGGCACATGCCTGTAATCCCAGTACTCGTGAGGCTGAGGCAGGAGGATCATTGCGAGTTCGAGGCCAGTCTGGGCTACAAAGTGAGCTCAAGGTCGGCCTGAACTGCATAGCGAGACCCTGTCTCAAAAAGACAAAAAAATTTTTAAAAAATCAATCAATCAATATATGAATGAATAAATAAATAAAACTCCTTATTTATAGGGAACAACAACTCAGCTGACTGAGTTGGCAAAAACCACAGCAAGACCAAAAAAAAAAAAGCATGGAGAAAAATGTCCTTCAGGGTCAGCATATTCTCAGATTAAAAAAAAAAATTAAGACTTTCAGTAGACCTGATCTTAATTATCAAAGAAAGTTCTTCAGAGAAAAGGGAACTTACAGGAATAGAATAGCAGGAAAGAAGGAAGAGTAACGGGAATCTAGGTAAACTGCAGCGCACGTTGGTGCATATCTGTACCATAATGGCAGCACTCAGGAGACTGAGGCAGGGGGCTTCCTTGAGTTTAAGGCCAGCCTGAACTAAATAGTGTGACTCTGCTCAAAATATCAGAAAAAGAAATCTAGGTAAATAGACTAATCTCTTCAGTTTTTTAAAATACATCTCATAATTAAAAGGCAAAAAGTAAAGTACTGTCTGAAGGGATTTTCAAAATATATAGATATAAGATAGCTGCAACAAAAAAGATAGAATGGTACGGGGACTTAGATGATTATGGTTAAGTTTCTGAACCCCTCTTGGAGTGGTAATAATTGTAAGTAGGATGTAAAAGTAGATACATTCAGCTGGGGATGTTGTTAGTGGTGGAAAGCTTCTGTTCCTTGCAGGAGGCCCTATGTTTACCATTGGTGCATGCATGCATGAGTGTATGTGTCTGTGTGTGCGTGTATCTCATCTTCTGTGCTGAATTTCTTCAGGGCCTAACCCCTCTTTGACTGCATATTAATTTTTTTTTTTTTTTGAGAGACAGTCTCACTATGCAGTCCAGGCTGGCCTTGAGCTCACTTTGTAGCCCAGAGTTTTTGAAAATCAGAAAGACCCTCTGGCTGTGGACAAAATTATGAAGGATCTAGACCAGTGTTGAGATGGCAAAGTGGGCTTCCAGAGGTTCTTCTCACTAGCTGCACGCCTCATCACTGCATGCAATGATTATTTTGTAGTACACATGAAGCAGAAGGGAAAGAAGTAGGCAGACACGAGCGTTTACTCCCGCCCTGATGAGAGTTCTCCCAGAGGGCCCCTTAAGGAATCTGCCCCTCAGTTTCCCCTTGGATAAAGACTTCATGAGCAGATCAGGACCCTTAGAAAATGTTCAGATAACATCCACCTCTCA